ATAGGTGCCCTATAATTATGGAGCCTTATCTTCTAACAGGTGCCCTATGGAGGCTAATGTCCCAACAGTTGCCCTCATTATAGAGCCTTATATCCTATAACTATGGAACCTAATGCACTAACAGGTACCCTTATTATGGAGCCTTATGCCCTTACAGGTGCTCAAACTATGGAGCCTTGTGCCCTTACAGGTGCCCTAACTATAGAGCCTTGTGCCCTTACAGGTGCCCTAACTATGGAGACTAATGCCCTTACAGGTGTCCTAACTGTAGAGCTTAATGCCCTTACAGGTGTCCTAACTATGGAGCTTAATTCCCTACAGTCCCTGAAACGTTTTACTTTCCCACCTGAACGGTGAACGAACGGTAAACGAACGCAGAGCGAACGGTGAGTGAACATTGTGCGAACATTGAACGCAACTTGGTGAACGATGTGTGACCGGTGAACGGTGAATGAACGCAGAACGCGAACGAAGCGCGAACTGAGCGCGAACGCGAGCGCAAAGTGAAAGGTGAACGAACAGTGAACGCAAGATGAACGATTTATTCGGAATGACTCTGATCTTTTCCTTGCATTGAAATTATGCTATTATTCTATAATTCTAATTTCAGGTGCTAAAATATAAATAAACAATAGATAAATAGATAATAAAAACATTTATTTTCTGCATATGCATATGTTTTAAATCGATTTTTGAACAACACGATTTTAATTGCCGTAAAACATGTGTATTTGGTACCGAACACGTGTAGTATAAATATAAAATTAATCTACTTATATAGTTTATATGCTTATTCTTTTAACTTATAAAATAATGTGGACTGTAGAGGATAAAACTACTACTTATAGAACATTTAGAATGAATTAATTACATTGTACCCGGTTGAAACAACCATACATGTATTTCCGTGCCATAGTGATTCTGAGTAAAATAACGGATTTATTTTTAAATTCACAAATATCTGTCGACGTATTGCATAAATACGAGGGTTGTCCAAAAAGTTCATGGACAATGACGTTTTTGTGAAAATAAATGGTTCTATGTCAATCTTTTGCATATCAAAATATTTTTTATGAAAAAGCAAATCAAAATGATTTAATTTTTATTGATGGAACGTAATTTTTTTTGTAAAAATAGGGGTCTTTAAAGGTCGCGGAAAGTGCGCACGGACCAAGGGTAAAATGACAAACTCTTATATAAAGTGTTGGGATTAAAATGATTATTTTCTATATAAGACAAGTCAAAAATCAATAAAAAAAATTATGTAACACAAATACAGAGGCTATAACCATTTTATGATATCTTATGTATCGCTTACTATATAGACAGTATAAATACTAAGCAAAAACCCTAACAAATATGTGTCAAAAATCGACAAAAAAGCGACGTCGGCCGTCCGCACCGGCCAGCGTCCGATAAAAAAAAATGGTTTTTATACGGTTGAAATAACGAATGAGACAAAATATGTGTTAAAACAACTCAAAACTATTGAAATATATTTAGTGTATCAATTTCAGATTGGTATATACAATTTTCAACTGTTTGTACATATTCCAATACACTACAAGAATTTAAAAACACATTTAATTTACTAAAAATGGAGATTACTATTCATGACGTTGTTATAAATCTAGCACAGCGTCGGACTGGGCTGTTCAGTTTGTGTATACAAACTGTTTAATATTTGACGTTATAATGAAATTAGCTTTACGTCAAACTGGTCCGTGCGCACAATCTGCGATCTTTAAAGACCCCGATGTTTACAAAAATATTAAGTTTCCTAAATAAAAATTAAATCATTCTGACTTGGTTTTTTATAACAAATATTTTGATATACAATAGATGCATATAGAACCATTTAATTTGACAAAAACGTCATTGTCCACGAACTTTTTGGACAACCCTCGTACACTCGTATTTTAAGATTCTAATGCAAAATATTAACAATTTATGTGTCATTTTTATTATTTTATGATGATTATTTTAGCTAACTTCTACATTTCCCGGCCGTTATTATACTCGGACAAGATGATGGAAGAGGTGATCAAATTATTTGTAATAGATTAAAGTTTCAACACTAAAAAAATAATGTGCTGTTATAGATTTTATTGAACAGAGAAATGTACGAGAGAGAGAGAGAGAGAGAGAGAGAGAGAGAGAGAGAGAGAGACCTTCATTCTCAGATATTTGTTGTATCAAATAAAAATTCTAATTATTTTTCCTAAATATTCCAAGCAGGAAGAGGAGACAATTTTTTTAGATTAACAAATCCATTTGACAGTAATCATCGGCTTTTATTTTCCGTCTTCAAATTCACACGTGCATGTCCTGTCAATCAAAATCATTCGATACAGTGGAGGTGTCGAAATCTCGTTTCGCCGAACATGATGTTCATAATTCTCAGACCTACATGTAGTTCTAATATGTTTTCTTCCATTTTTTTAATATTCGTGTTACAAATATTTTGTTGTGTATTCTTGTCATGTACGAGGGGTTATAAAAAAGTTCGTGGACTGAGGCTATAAAATTAGTACTATGTAGTCTGTACTTTCAAAATTTATAAGGGACATAAAACAACAAAAAATAAAGAAATGTTGAAAATTTTAGCTTGATTCGTTCATTATTTGCTTTACATAATAAAATAAAAACGACATCATATCATTACCCGTCGCCGTCGCCGTTTAATTAGTTTCATAACGTCCGTCAACGTCATTGTTTTTCAATGTCCGCTTCTTCTACCTCATACACTTAATTTGATGAGATTCCCTGGAGTTGAGTAAGGACTTGAACTGTCTTGTTTATATGACTTTACAATTTTAGAAACAGCGGCTTTCAATGCATATGATATTGCAAATGGATATATACATTGGGAGAGATTCTAGCTTGACTGTGCCTGCATATTTTGCTTTTGGGAGTTTAATATCTACAACAAATAATTAACGTCATTTTTGACGTGATTGGTTTTTCATACCTTGACTACAAATCGACAATAACTGTGCATCCCTTTTCTCTCTGAATCTCTTTTGGCATTAAAAAGTAAAAACTCTGGATGCATTTAATTTCTCCATAACCAGTTTAAACATTTCCTAGGTATATACCACTTTTTTCAGGGCCAAAACTTTATAGAATGTTGGAAAATGAAACCCCTCCCTCCTTTTGACGTCATTTCAAGGACTTATTTGTTTGGATACTCCGTGTCAAATTTACGATAATTTTCATAGAACTTTCAGAATGAGGTGAAAGTTTCATATTTTATGAAGCAATAGTGTCCCAACATATACCTGAATTAACGGGATTTTTGGATGTCAAATGTTCATATCAAAAGAGTTTTTCTCATTATACCCCCCGCTTGAAAAGCGGGAGGGTATATAGTAATCGTTAATTCCGCCCGTCCGTCCGTCCGTCCGTCTGTAACACTTTGGGGTACCCATCTCTTATCCGCAACTCCTCTCATACCACTGAATGAAATTTGTTGCAACTTTCACAGAATCTTTATTACATATTGCCATTGTGACCTCCTATTTTACGTTTTGATCCGACACATATTTTGGGTTCCCCAGCCACAGGAAATCATGGACTTTTTCACCATTTATAACCATATGGGAGGCGGGGGTATCATTTAGTGAGCTCATCGCTCACAGTACCTCTAGTTTTCACTTCGGTCGAAAAAACGTCGTATTCGAGGTTGCGCCGTCTGGACATACCATAGCTTAAAAAACATTACTTATCTATTAAAAAAATAAAAATTATGATTTGCGGTTTATTCTATAGATAGAAAAGATGATGATTACCAGATATTTTAAAATTCATCGATGTACCTAAAGCGGTTTTTTATGGCGCCAGTCCACGAACTTTTTGATACCCACTCGTAAAAGACTTGGATAATTATTCATCCATTAACGATTTGTCGTCTTTTACATTACAACAAAATGTTGCCGTGCTTGAAGCTTTTTACTTTTTCCTTATTATACCCCCCGCTTGAAAAGCGGGAGGGTATATAGTAATCGTTAATTCCGTCCGTCCGTCCGTCTGTTACGCTTTGGGGTATCCATCTTTTATCCGAAACTCCTCTCATACCACTGATTGAAATTTGATGAAACATTAACAGAATCTTTATTACATATTGCCATTGTGCACCTCCTATTTTACTTTATGATCTGACACATATTTTGGGTTTCCCGGCCACAGCAAAACATGGTCTTTGCCACTTTAACTATATGGAGGCGGGGGGTATCATTTAGTGAGCTCATCGCTCACAGTACCTCTAGTTTAAATTAAAGATTTTAGTATCGTTCTACATACATGAAGGTATACTTAATGGATTATTTTCCATGGACATTTCAAGGATAAAATAACAGCTAAGTTATAATAATAGAAATATAAATATAGTAGATACTTTTTGCAATGAAATAATTATTCTTCAAACACGATATCTTAGTTATTTGAATGAGAAACATGTTAATCCTTACCATCAAAAAGTTAAGTCCTTTCACACCGGAGTTCCGAATGACAATGAAGACTGAACGCTAAGTGAACTATGAACGAAAGAAGAACGCAAAGTAAATGGAACGAAGAGCGAACGGCGAACGTTTTGTGAACGGTGAACGCAAGCGGAAGGTAAACGGTGAACGCAAAACTGTGAGCGGAGAGCGAACGGTGAACGCACGCTGAACGAACGGTGAGCGAACGGAAATATGGGAAAGTAGAACGTTTCAGGGACTGTAACAGGTGCCCTAACTATAGAGCTTAGTGCCCTAACTATGGAGCCTAATGCCCTTACAAACGCCACAACTATGGAGCCTAATTCCCTAATTATGGAGCCTTATTCTCCCACAGGCGCAACAACTATGGAGCCTTATGGCCTAATAAGTGCCCTATAATTATGCAGCTCTATCCCCTAACAGGTGCCCCATGGAGGCTTAGTTCCAAACAGGTGCCCTAACTATGGAGACTAACACCCTAAAACTATGGAGCTTAATGCACTAACAGGTGCCTTAACTATGGAGCCTTGTGCCTTTACAGGGGCCCTTACCATGGAGCCTAATGCCCTAACAAGTGCTCAAACTATGGAGCCAAATTGTCCGAACAGGTGCCTTAATTATAGAGCCAATAATGCCTTAACAGGTGTCCTAACTATGGAGCCTAATGCCCTAACTATAGAGCCTAAAATGACCTAACAGATGCCCAAACTACGGAGCCTAATGTCCTAATTATGGAGCCTAATCCCCCCACAGGTGCCACTACTATGGAACCTATTTTCCAAATAGTTGCCCTATAATTATGGAGCCCTATCCCCTAACGGGTGCCCTATGGAGGCTAATGTCCCAACAGGTGCCCAAACTATGGAGCCTAATACCATATAACTATGGAGCTTAATGCATTTACAGGTGCCCTAACTATGGAGCCTTGTGCCCTTACAGGTGCCCTAACGATGGAGCCTTGTGCCCTAACAGGGGCCCTAACCGTGGAGCCTAATGGCCTAACAGGTGCCCCAACTATAGAGCCTTATGCCCAAACAGGTGCCCTAACTATGAAGCTTAATGCCCAAGAGGTGCCCTAACTTGAAAGCTTAGTGCCCTTACAGGTGCCCTAACTATGGAGCCTAATGCCCTAAAAGGTGCCCTAACTATAGAGCCTATAATGCCTTAACAGGTGCCCTAACTATGGAGCGTAATGCCCTAACAGGTGCCCTAACTATAGAGCTTAATGCCCTAACAAGTGCCCAAATTATGGAGCCTAATGCCCTGAAAGGTGCCCTATTTATAGAGTCTAATGCCCTAACTGGTGCCCTAACTATGGAGCGCTTAGTGCTCTTACAGGTGCCCTAACTATGGAGCCTAATATCTTCACAGGTGCCCTTACTATAGAGCCTTTTTCCCTAACAGGAGCCTTATCTATAGAGCTAAATGCCCTAACAGGTGCCCTAACTATAGAGCTTAATGCCCTAACAGGTGCCCTAACTATAGAGCTTAGTGCCCAAACAGGTGTCCTAACTATAAAGCTTAATGCCCTAGCAGTTGCCATCACTATAAAGCCTATAATGCCTTAACAGGTGCCCTAACTATGGAGCGTAATGCCCTAAAGGGTGTCCTAACTATGGAGCGTAATGCCCTTACAGGTGCCCTAACTATAGAACCTATAATGCCTTAACAGGTGCCCTAACTATGGACCCTAAAGCCTTAATGGGGATTCGAATTAAAGAGCTTAATGCCTTAACAGGTGCCCCAATCGGGCCATTGGCGTAAATTTTGGAAGGGGCCTTTTACAACAAATAATTAAATAATTTCTAGTGTATCAACTGTCTTTTCCCCCTTTTATAAATTATCTTTTATGTAAAATAAAATCCATTTTACATTTTGTAAAAGAAGGCATCACGTGACTGTCAACAGAATTTTTTTACTGTCAAAGAAAAATAAATTACCTTGACCTAAATGTACGTAAATAAAAACGATCAAATTTATTCTTATTGATACCACCACTTGATGATACTGTATTATTCACTAACTTTCAAAGAGTTTTTACAGAGACAACAATTAGAAATATTAATGTAACATGCATAAACTACACTCAAATTACAGTTCACAATTTTATTTTGAGTGAAAATAATTTTGAATGAAAATCTTTCTCTTGAAGATGGACCTTTTTTTTTTTTTTTTTTTTTTTAAATTTTTTGCAGTTGACTTTTTTCTGTACAGCAATGACTGATAAAGTCGACTACTGTCCCCAGAACCTGACAGAAACATTGGAAGCAGGTTCCAGACTTGGCTGTGGTCAAGACGAGTATGGTAACAATCAGTACCTGTGTCTCCCTAACAAAGAGAAGACGGGTCTGGTAGAATTCTGTCACGATGGAGTCATGGGGATATTGGAAAGAGGTGAGTCATCAAATTTACTTTTTGTTTTTTATTAATCGTGTATAAATCGATAATCGATTATAAAAAAGAAGAAAAAGAAAGAAATACTATTACTCCGTATGGCTTTATCAGAGATAGATCTTTCTCACATGCATGTCAAACTCCAAGGTCAAGGTCAAAATGTCAAAATTGTTGGTATCCAAAGGAAGATCTAGCGATAAGGAATAGGCTTGAGAAGTATGAAAGCCCTAGTACATGTACTTACTGTTTAAAAAGTTATGGTCAAAGGTTTTCAAAGATTAATGTCAAAAAGTAAAAAAATACTCAATGAATTTGTCCCAAAGTTCTCTGCCATGAGCGTGAGTTTAGAATGAGTGAAGAAGCGTGAAGAAACTAGTACATAAATTCTACCACATCAGCCAACACATGACCAATTTACACAATGTAAAAATTATACTCATCAAATTAAATGAACAATTTGTCAAGTCATTAACATTCAGTATATTTTAGGTTATTGTTTGGAGACCACTGGTGATGATCTCTCAAGAAATAACTGCTCACATTTCCTAATGGGCTGTCCAGATACAGAAATCCACATCAACAAAATGTACAGATGTAAGCATAACTTCATCTATGGAGAATAATGTCATACTCATCTTTAAACTTAAAAATACCCACTAATATTACTCATCCTCAAACTTAAAATACCCACTATAATATGTACACATGTATTTACATACATGTTTTCAATATTCTTCTAATTTAGATCCCGCCTGTTTAAGAATTAGTACAGAGTATCAATGCTATCTTGCTGATCCGTCCTGTGGAAATGCGTAAGTCATAGATATTCATCAGTCAAATCAGCAAAATGTCCTAGTCTTGTTACTATGTTTACACATATATTTTTATTTTATGTTTAGCGCATGGGATACAACTACCAAAGACACAGCAGAGACATTGATTACCCAAGGATTCTCTACAGACCATACTATGTACAATGTCACAGGGACAATTATTCAAAAAACCACATTAGCAGAGGATAACTCAGCAGTTATTGGGGCAGTCGTTGGAAGTCTTGTAGCTGTGTTAATCACACTTCTTCTACTTCTGACTGTAGTTATAGTTTTACGAAGAAGAAAACTGAAGCAGGAGAATAGGAAAAAAGATGAAATTTCAGGTAATACAATGTGTTTCATTTCTTTTTTTGACAATTTGTTTGAAAATGTAAGATTTTTAAAAATTTATGATAAATAATGAGAAGAAAATAATAGAATTTATTTCAAAAAATAATTTGTCTACATTAAATCAGTAATGAATAAAAGTTTGTTTTCCATTCTTACATAATTCATTTTACCATCAAAGAATATATTATTTTGTAACATTTACAAAACATTAAACTCTTTTTTTTGGAAAAAGAATGTGAAATCTTGTTAAAACAATCAAGGGAGAAAGATTAAACAATTAAATTGAAGAAAATTATGAATTTTTGGAATATGAATAATTATAAAACATTTGTAATGGAATTCCATTTCAGAAAACGAGAAGAAAGTCTTATTGAAACCGTTACCAACAATGGACACCAGACAAGGTACTTAATAATAAATTCCAGAGAATAATGCTTTAAATTAAAAAAATGATTTAAGGAAGCACTAATCCCTAATAAAAAGTGTTTTTTCGACTTGAAAAGATATACATGTATATCATGTAAATGTGTTCATATTTGGGCCTTATAGTTAATTTTCAGCATAGGGTACCTGTACATGTCTTATATGTGGAGGAAAACTTGACAAGTTCCAAAACAATAGACTTTTCATAAGTAGAAATCATTTTGACACTAAAAACAAGACGTGTTCGTATAATGAAGCTTTTTTACTGTTTTAAAGCAACTTATTTCACTTAATTAATAAAACTAAACAAAACTATAGGTATTGTGAGCAATGAGCTCACTAAATCATACCCCGCCTCCCATGTATATAAAATGGCAGTGTCCATGTTTTGCTTTGGGAAACCCAAAATATATGTCCTATCAAAAAGTAAAATAGGAGGTGCACAATGATTATATGTAATAAAATTCTCTGAAAGTTTCATCAAATTTCATTCAGTGGTTTGATAGAAGTTTCAGATAAGAGATTTGTAACCCAAAGCGTAACAGACAGACGGACGGACGGATTACTATATACCTCTTTCATTTTAGGGGGAAAATCATGTACAGGTTATAACTATGTACCAAAAAAGTTAGGAAATCTTTAAGTTTGTTAAATCAGTTATTTAACGGTGGAATGATTTTCATTTCATTACCGGAAGTTGATTTTCAGCCCTGTAAACAGAAGTCAAAAATTTGCATTTTTAATAAAATATTTGACAATATTTTGGGTTTTCAAGGCTTTGTAGCTGTTAATCATAAGTATTGTACTACAATACCGGGAAAACATATTTTTATCTTTTCCGGATGTGATGCCTATATTAAATCGTAATTAAACCTTAAAAGTAACACACAACTCTTAAAACATCCCCCCTTCCAACCATTCAATTAAAACATGCTAGTCCGCCATGTACAACAAATGCAGCCGATTTCTACCATGCAGTAGGTTTACAAATGTCTTTTAAATTTTAGCGAAAGAAGGATTTCCCATTGGAATTTTGAAAATGATTACTTTAACAACGTTTCAAAAATTTTTAAAATATGTTCCAAAAAGTAAATGTGCTATTTGTGATCGTGATCATTCTTTAAACAAGCTGGGAAAAAAACCCACAATATCTGGATTTGAAATGCATGTGTTTTTAAAAAAAAAAACACTAAGTGACTAACAAAGTTTAACATGACCAATGCATGTAAATGTATCTAAGCAAGTTAGTAAGCCTATCTGCTATGAAAAAACAAAGAATTAGATCCGCTTGTAGCAATGAGAGAAGTACAGTATTTACTAGCCTAAAAGTTGGTGTTTTGGGGGTTTAATGTTGGTTCAAATGTCATTGTCCGACATAAAGGCGAGTCGTAATTAGATTGCTATTTTTCTGGACTAAGAAAGATAAACATGTAGTATTTGATGAGCATTCCCCCCGATACTCGTTGAACAAAGTCTTTATATATTAAACGATATATGTAATCTACATTTATGCATAAAGTACAAGTATTTATATTCTAATAGTTTCATAATTTTCATATTTTATGTGCCTTACTTTTTAAGGCATTTTTAAAAAAAAATATATGAATCGATTTTTATACCCCCGCTCCGAAGGAGAGGGTGGTATACTGTTTTACCCTTGTGTGTCTGTCTGTGTGTCCGTGTGTCCGTTTAGCTGTGTGTCCGTCCGAAACAAATTTTCGTCACAGTTTTCTCAGCACCTACTCATCGTAGATGTCTGAAATTTTAACACAATCTTCTCTGAGGCATGCCATAAGGTGGGATACATTTTCGCTCAAATCCGATGTCAACTTCCTGTTTGTCTGTGCGTCTGTCCGTTTCATACATAACAAATTTTCGTCACAGTTTTCTCTGCAATTACGGTACTCGTTGTAGATGCTTGAAATTTTAACACAATCTGAGGTATGCCATATCTTGGGATACATTTTTTTTCAAATCGGATATCAACTTCCTGTTTGTCTGTGCATCTGTCTGTTTCACACATAACAAATTTTCGTCGCAGTTTTCTCATTAGCTATTCATAGCGGATGCTTGAAATTTTATTACACCCTTTGTTGAGGCATGCCATATGATGGGATTAAATTTGATATGAATCTGATGTCAACTTCAAATTTTTCTGTGCATCTGCCTGTAATTGAACTTGTGTATATTTACATGATAGTGCTTATTTACATCAGAGCGGGGGTATTACTAGTGAGCATTGGCTCACAGATTTCTTGTTTAAGAAATAAAAAAAAATGAATTCAATATAACTGAGTATTGGTTTCAGCGAAAGTTCATCACACTTATAGCCAAAGTCATCCATAGCACTGGCGACGTTCTAGTCACTCCTGTCTTTATGCTGAATACCGGTAGTTTTTATATGAAAAAATCTTAATACACCAGTGCACAAATTATGCAGCTTTAATATCCAGTATTTAAACGGTTGATATACACAATGACACAAGGTAATTTAATCAGAAAATTTGACCCCTTGAAAATATATGATTTTACAGTATTAATCAGAAAAACCATGTAGTGAGTATATTGTTATGATTTGCAGGGGCGCCTCTTCCATATTCTGAATATCTTCACCCGTTTGTAAGGGTCTCATGTATGGGGAATGGGTCTATTATATTGATATTGGAAAAGCATTTTGAAAAATATTCTTCTCTGTTCCGGGTTAATTGCAAGGTTATGACCAATTCTTTATTTTAAAATTGGGAATGCCAAGTCCCTGTGTCAGGGATTTTGGACGTATGATGGGATTACTATACCATTTGAGTGAAATATAAAAAGCCCAATTAAAGCCCAAACCGTACCTTCTTCTTAGGTATAAACTGTTTTACTAACTTGCCACTAATGAACACGCCACTTATTAACTAGGATCGGAAGTGAATGACACACAAGGACTTGAAGACATTGTGGACAGTACGGAAGAGCATATCAATATTATCAGTAATGTACCTGGATGTGAACGCTCACTGCTGGCAACAGACGAAGGTATTCACCTAAACAATGTCACATTTATTTAAAATTTACGTCTTTTTGTACAAGTTCAAGATTGGAACGTTCAGTATAATATTTTTTCCTACTGAGGATAGGTAGGAAGACTTGTGAATAAAATACAAAAAGATTTCCCTGTCATTATATCATCATATGGCTTGAGTAAAGTACTTCACATTTATCTAAAATGTAATTTAAAAAAAGTTCTTTTCGAGATAAAATGGATCAAAACAATCTATTTCAGGAACTAAAGAGATACAAAAAACGGTCCTCAATGGAGACCCAGCAGACAGTGGAGATTCAGCGGATGAAGAGGATTTTGTTAGACAAACTGATAACAGAGATAATATTCCAGAGCCTGAAAATTCATTGATACAAGGCAGGAGAAAGACTGGTAAGAATACATATACCACACTTTTTTCATGGGAGATAATTTTGTATTTCTTCTTTTTAATTATAAAATATTGATAGTTATTTTTTAGCAGGATTTTTTTCAAGGACTTGCAAAAACCTTTAATCCCTAAAAACAATACTATATTAAACTATGATTATAGTAAGCTATAGTTTACTATAGTAAGCCTTAGTAAATCAAAGTTCCAAAGTTTTTGCTGTAGTTAATCAAAAGTTCATTTTTCTACTATTTTAAAACAAAGTTTCAAAGTTTTTACAATAACTATTGTAAATCACATTTTCAAAGATTTCTTAATCAGTCTCGCATGCAGATTTAGCGTTTTTTAATTATTATTTGGCTGTTTTAATGGGGTCGATGTTGGATTGTTTGTGGCTGGTTTTTGTTGTACATTTAAATTTAGATATATTTATATTAGTATTTTAACAAATGCAATATTTACAATTTAAAAAAAAAAAATACATGTGAACTGAAATTGATGAAGCATTTTTTTTAAGCCGCTTCATCCGAAACAGGCCATATTATCTTAAACAATAAAAGTATGTCATTACATAGATAATATATGAAAATTAATTATCAGATTGAGTTAATAGTTTATTACAACAATCCTTACATGGAAAACATAGACCAAAAACCTTGTTGACAAACAGCAGTTCCTGACGGGAAGTTAAGATCTGTTTTGAAGTCATACTTTAATCGTTTATATCTAATTATAAAGAGAATTCAAACCCGAGTTTTTTTTTTTCCATAAGTAGAATCCTAAGTCATGATAAATCTTTTAAAAATTAAGGAATTAACTGAATATAATCCATAGTAAAATATATATATATATATATATATATATATATATATATATAGAAAGCACAGAGAAATTCACTTTTACAAGGATACTCACTTCCGCCCCAGCCCGGGGTTGAACTCGCGACCTACGGAATCTGTCTCCTAGCAGAATAGGAACAGCGCGTAAGACCGCAAGGATAACAAGGAAAGTTAAAAAACTTGCTTTCGATGCCGATGGAATTCTCACAACGCTGCCCTACACTACACGGTCATTGAGGATGGAAGTGAGATACAGTTATTTGGACATTATATATATATATATATATATATATATATATATATATATATATATATATATATATATATATATATATATATATATTTACAGAAGTAAAGGAAATTAAGATATTTTCAAAGATTTTTTTAAAAAAGGGAGTTAAGTATCGAGGGCTAAAATATTTCCCGTGTACACTTTGTTTTGGAAAAAATGCTTGGGTTTTGTTCTTCGTTAGTTATACATGTAAGCGATATATTTAATTTTTCGAAGGTGATTTCACGCAATGTAAACAAAGGATTATTTTTTGTGTGACCTAACAAATTTTTTTTTTAACTTTTCAATTTTTATATCTTTAAAAAGAAAAATACTTTGGAGGATATAATTTGACAAAAGTTGAAATAATTTATGGACGATTATTTTTCAAGAGGAAAAACGAATATATTTTTTTAGCGATTAGAATCGGACCAAGCGGCTTCAAACATTCTAAATGACGCTATTTTTTGTAGCATACTTTTTTCCCTCGATTAATGAACCTAAAGTAACATCTTCATAATATTGAATTTTTTATAGATCTAAAGCCGCTTGGTCCGATTCTAATCGCTAAAAAAATATATTCGTTTTTCTTCTTGAAAAATAATTTTCCATAAATTGTTTGACCTTTTGTTAATTTATATCCCCAAAGTATTTTTCTTTTAAAAGATATCAAAATTCAAAAGTTAAGAAAATAATTTTTGTTAGGTCACAAACGTTGATATCACGTGAAATCCCTTTCGAAAAATTAAATTTATCGCTTACATGTATATCTCATGAAGAACGAACCCGAGCATTTTTTATCACAACAAAGTACTTATACCTGTACGCGGACAATTGTTTAGCCTTCGTTACTAAAATTCTTTTAAAAATATCTGATTTTCCTTTATTCTTTAAATATGTATATTGAAATAAAAATTACCAAGGATTATATATTCCTTGACTTAGATCTACTTATAGAAAAAAATAGTCGGGTTTGAATTATCTTCATAATAAGATAAAAGCGATAAGTTTATTATTTTTCAAAGGTTACTTCGCAATAGATCTTAACTTCCTGTCAGAACTTTTGTTTGTCAATAAGGTTTTTGATCTATGGTTTCCACGTAAGGATTGTTGTAATTAACTATTAAATCAATCTTATAATTTATTTTTATATCTTATCTATATGTAATGACGTACTTTTATTGTGGAAGATAATATGTGCCTGTTTCGGATCAAGCGGCTTTAATAAATATTCTCCCGGAAAATCTTTAAACGACGTCTTTATGTAGAAATTATTATGTAATCTACACTTATGCATAAGTAAAAAGTATTTATATTCTGGTAGTTTCATCATTTTCATGTTTTATGTGCGTTACATTCTATATAATATTTTTAAAATATGAAAAGATTCTTTTAGAATTAAAAAAAAAATATGAAGTCAACATCACTGAGCATAGGTTTCAGCAAAAGTTCATCACATAAATCATCTATAGCACTGGCGACGTTCTAGTCACACCTGTCTTTAAACTGAATACCGGTGGTTTTCATGTGAAACAAGATGCTTTTGTGAAACACTATGTGCCCGGCGGCAACAAAATTCAAAAAAGAAATTTTTAGCATATAGGTCATAGTTAAGGTCACAAAGATCATTGGTGTCATTTGAAAGCACATAATTTGTGGTATATGCATACCAAATATAAAATCTCTATCTCATATTGTTCAAAAGTAATGGCGAAAGTTCGAAAAAGCTATTTTTACAATAGAGGTTACAGTCAAGGTCACAATGTCTTGACCTTGTTGGCTATCTAAAGAACTTAATTAGAGGAGCATGCACACCAAATATGAAATCTCTATCTCCTATGGTTCAAAAGTAATGGAAAAAGTTCGAAAAAAATATTTTAGCACATACGTAAAAGCACAGGAGAGGTCACAAGGTCATTGGCCTTAAAATCAGTTGAAAGTGCTTAATTAGTGGAGTATGCATTCCCAATATGAAGTCTCTATCTCTTATGATTCAAAAGTTGTGGTGAAGGTTAAAGTTGATTGCACACAAACAGCTTAACAGCTAAACAGACAAACAGACAGACAGGACAAAAAACAATATACGCCCCGAATATGTCGATTTGGACGCATAAAAATCTGAAATACACCATGGCTGTCTTACCCTAAAATGTAAAAGGTTTATGTTACGCGTCGTGACCCATAAGCCTTTATGATATGTGTTATCTTAATACACTAGTGCACAAATTGTTCTGCAGGTTAAATATCTAGTATTTAAACGGATGAGATATACACAATGACACAATTTCATTTAAACAGCATATTTTCTTACATTCCTCTAGCACTAAAATCCTTCTGAAAGATGAAAATTAAAAATCATTTTTCATTTAGTGTTGTCCACCGGTTTCTCTAAAAGTGAGGGATATAATTTTGGGTCAGTCTAGCTGTCCATCCGTCTGAATGTCTGTCTCTCAGTAACATTTTCGTGGTAATGCTCGACTAGTCTTTAAACTGTTGCTATAAAGTTTGCTAGCTATATCATATAAACCACAACTCAGTATGGTCTAAAGAGTACTCCTTTTGATTTTGATGTCAAAATAAAACATATAAGGCAAAGGTCTTGAAATTCATAATTATGTACATGTCTGTTTTTAATTAACACATATAGAGCTATTTCGTTACCGGACGATATCTTGAAAAGCATTGAGCTTTTGCTATGTAATCTTATATCAAAAGTCTCTATTATAATGGCAAAAGAAGAATCTACTGATTTTGAGACATTCAAAGGTCATTTTCATTATTTTATAAATTTTGTCTATTTTTAACACTTTCTTTTCCAGGCAATGTCATTAGAAACATTCTAACTTTTACAATGACATTTTATACCACAACTCCTTTTTACCCCCGCCAGCCCCTGTCCATATCCCCGTTTTTTCTTTATATTTTTGGTCATATTTCGTAAACAAAACTCAATCAGAACGTGTTACATCGATTACGTTCCAAGTTTGAGAGTAGGTCCCTGTGGAAGTTACGAATCACTCCCCTACCCACCTTTGCTATATCCATTCCCGGTTCTTTTACATTTAGCGGGGTACACAAAATTCAAATACACACAACGTTTTATGCATACTGTTGACAGTAATAATATGTCTCTAAATGAACGATTGCTCATTATTTTGGACTTGAAAAATATTTACTCGAGGAAGAACTTTTCAAATATTCTGCTCCACCTCAAGAACTGCTGGTCCAGTAAAAATCCTATCATGCCATAAAAATAATTGGTGTAAAAAGGAAACTCTGTTAGTTCAAATGAAGGTTTATGCCTTCTTTCAAAGTAAGTAGTTAAAGATTGTTGAAAATTTAATAGACATCTTTGACAAAAAATTTCAAAACGAAGCCATTTGTGTCTGAAATGATAAAACGTGTTTGAAAACTTCATTATAAATAGAAAATTCAATTTAATTCAGATAATATACGTGTATGTGAAAATAACGAAAAGCATTCGAGCTAAAGAGTCCATAAAACATTACAAAATTGGAGCCGACCAACACAGACCTCTGAAACATCAGAGATGGAATCAGTTGCCATGGAGAACTGAACATAGATCATGTTCTCAGTGATTGATCTAGAACACGGGGGGGGGGGTGTAAAATTTGTTAGACAAGCAAAATAATACATATATGTACATGTGTGGCCATGAGTGCCGAGTTAAGGACAAAATTAGCAGCTCCCCGCCGGCAAGTGGTGGCTTTTCTATATGAGGAAAAATTCTCGAGGGGGACGTTAAAACAACAAATAAAACAAATGCAATAAAAAAAACAATGTGTACATTTGTGTGCAGTTTTTCAGCCCTCTTTTAACTAATATAGACGACATTGTGGGTAGTAAAAGTATGTACATATCGTCGCCGACGATACAATGAACAAAATGAAAATATGTACCGTTTTACGCCACGAACAGTTTTCAGAAAAGATTTTTTTTTATATACTCAACAAAAAAAGAAACACAAATTGTTTTACTAATCAAAGAAATTTTTTAAAAAGTATATGGAACAACTATCTATTTTATACCTGTGACCCATTTAAAGAACATCATGGGCTTTTAAACCCCAATTGTTGAATTATCTCCCTTGATTAATCCTGTTTATGAAAATAGTGTTTTGCATGATTTCTTGTAAATCGGGGTTTTTTTTCAATGAAATTTCGAATTTAAAGAAACAATAAACATTCTTATTAAACCCATATTTATGCTGTGATTGCAATGTTGATGCTGCAATGCTACGCCTGAACAAAAATGAACGCAACAGGGCTCTAACAATGAAACTAACTGGAAGTTGCAACTGTGTACATCAATCGGCTTTGTAGCACGTCTCCACCAGCTAGGAACACGGATGACATACCAAAAACTGGCTTTCTGCGGGTTACCACACCCAGACACAACCGTCAGAGACCCCCCTCCCCCTTCAGCACCTGCGCAATCGACTCAAAACTGATGTACAAACTGCTGAAATCAGGATAAAGTGCACAGATTGTTCGCAAGAGACTGAGAGTAACTGGTATTCGAACACGATGCCCGTACACTGGAAATCCACTAGTATGCAACGCCATCACTGCCTTATAGCATACAACTATGCATTTATTATGTCAATTTATCATTACGTGATATGTGAACATATCTTTACGTTATATCCATTTTTTATGAGATGAGGTAAATATATCTTAACATCATGTCAATGCTGCATTACATGAAGTAAATACATCCTTTCATTATGTCAGTACTTCATAACTTGAAGGAAAAAAATTCATTATGTGAAGTGATAATGTGTTTACATTATGTTAAAACTTTATCATGTAAAATGAATGTTTCTTTACATCATTTCATTTATTTAATATGTGAGGTAAAAATTGCATTATGTGAAGTAAATTGTGTTTTATAATTAAACTTATTATTACATAAAGTCAAAAAGCCCATTCCTTTTTGAGAGTGTATATTTCTATTATATCAAAGCATTATAAGGTGATATGGATTCATCTTAATTTTACGGCGAGGGCATCATGATGTGAGGTGAGCACATCTTACCTTTATGTCAGTGCTTGATTACGTGGTGTAAAAAGTGTATAACATGATGTGAACATATCTTTATATTATATCAACACTTTATTACATTATGTCAAAACTCCATTCCGTGATGTGGATATATAATTACGTTATGTCAACTCTTTCTTATGTGATTTAAAAATATCTCTATATTGTATTAACTCTTTATCATGTTGATTTCCAAAGTTCATTGCCTGATGTTAAGGATTTCAATCCCTAATGGGACCAAATTCTCTACTCTTAAATGTCCGTCAAGTACACAATACTCTGATATTATATTAAAGCATTTTATAGTGGAAAAGGATTGCCCACGAGAAATTTTCGAAAAGTCCATTAATTAAGCAGTAGTTAATTAACAAAGTTTATGGGGAAAAGCGTTTTTTCAAAATAAAAATTCAAATAATATGAATATCAATAAATCCTATGGTGGAAAGATGTATTTAGATATTAAAAATAGAATGATAATTGAAATCAATTTTTTTACCAGCTAATTTTTTTTAATTGATTTTTTTTTATTAATTAAAAAAGGGGAGATAACTCTTACCGAAATTCAAGGTTATGAATTAGGACACATCCCACTAAACATACTTCTAGTAATAAATGGGAAGTATGTCTAAATAAACTGAGTATACAATGCCTACATATCTGTTATGTTTTCAATTTCATTGAATTTCTTTCTATTAGGGATTGAAGACCTTAAAATACATTTACATTACCTCAAAGCTGTATATCTAGTATATAATGAATGTTGACGACCGTGTTTTAATGACTGGTAAGAAGGGGGGGGGGGGTCCTGATTGATTAGGACGAATTATAGGCACATAATATCAACCCCCCTCTTTTCCCAGACATAACTTTACTATAAAAATTTTATGTTCATTGAAACTGTACAGCCCCCACCCCCACGTTTTGCTGAAGAATAGTCCACTAAGGGTAATGTAGTATATCTGGGAAAAAAATAGGACTGATCGAAGTTGAATCACTCTCCCTGAAAGGATTTTTTGGGGCTTGGACGATTGTTTTCTTGGCTTGTCAAGTTTTTTAGGGTAAATAATTTTTTTCTGGCTGACATACTCTTTCAAAAAAAGATGCTACGTCACTGGAATCAGTATTTTTTTTAACCATTCCAGGGCCAGAATTCCATTACAAAAAATCTACCAGTCGCACATCTTAATTTATTGAAATGCCTTAGTAAGCATGCATGGGCACATATCAGTGGCGGATATGGTAATCTTGAACAAGGAAGGGGGACGGTATATGGTTGGAGACCAAGGGCGAAAAGCGGAGAAGCTCTCAGGCCTTATAGTTTTATAGAATAAAGTTTTCAATTCAATTCAGCTAAACTTAATGTGAAACTAATGCAATGTCTAACAAAGTTTAAGACTTTTATTAAAAAAAATGACCAATTCAAAATAAAAAGAAAACAAATTGCTGCACGACTCATAATATTTGATTTATTTAATCATCAGATTAAATTAGTAAACACCATTGAATTTCGACGTGCCTTTAATTTACAGTCACAGTGTTAAGACCTTGCACGTTTTAAGATTGTCCACCATTTGTCGCTAAGAGTTTTCATTTAAAGATGCCATTCCCAAACCGCTGAGAATTTCTTCTACGACAGTTTTTTTCTCACCCATTTTTAGTGCTTGCGGTACGCGGAAAATACGTTATGCTCATATAAAGGCCGAGGATACCAGAGTTCGTATAACGTAATAATGAATCGACATAATGTAGAAGATTGCGCACAGTATGACATGAGTATGACATGAGGAGTCAGAGGAAATGTGGGTCACGTCTTTTTTCGGTATTTATGAGATGTATTTACAAAAAACAAATATCCCACGGAAGATGGGAATATTTAAGCTTTATCGTGGTCATATGTCCGGCTATCATATACGTCTAGTTTTCTCAAACACTTCGAAACTATTTGACAGTTTTCATATTTACGTTGATCGGGTAGTAAAAACATGCATGATGTGCACAATCTAGGGCTTGCGTAGGGATTCTCACATTTAAAACAGCGAGAGAAAACGTTTATCTTTCAAATGCAACAACTTAAACTTGACTAGACTTTTTAAAAATGAATAATTAAGACATTTTCTCTTCAAACAGTAACGGTTACGTAGGGGGAAGTCGTTTATGAGAAAGCCCATCGCAGGGGGAGTCGCAAAATAAAGTCAAATGCATATACTTGGTGTTGTTTTCGGATTCCAAAACTTCATAAGAATCCTTACAAAGATACATTGCAGGTTCCAGTAAATGTTCAACCAAGCCTCTTTCGTTACTTCTCACTAAAATATTGACAGTAGTGAAGGAAAAACTTCAAGAGTACTGTACAACTATATATTCAAGAAGTGGTGTAAATCAGATGTGGATACTTAAAAATTCTAAAGAACTTTTGGACAATTTGAAATCACAAGACTTTACAAAAATCAACAGCTTAAAAACTTACGACTTTTCAACTTTATACACAACAATTCCCCACGACAAATTAAAATCCAGGCTTTTTGATATCATTGATAGCTGCTTCTTCAACAAAAATGGAACTCGTAAATTTACTTACCTCGTCATTGGTTATTCGAAAAATTATTTTGTTAAAACAGATTCTGATTGCACACATAAGTACTCGGAAGTTGACATCAAGAAGATGCTTGAGTTTCTGATTGACAATATCTATGTGATTTTTGGAGACCAGGTATTCCAACAATCTATTGGAATTCCCATGGGTACAAATTGCGCTTCGTTTTTAGCAGACTTATTTTTATATTCATATGAAGCAGAATTTATGCAAAATCTTATGCGTGAAAAGAAGAAAACACTTTCTGTGGCCTACATCTCGACATTAAGATATATCGACGACGTATTGTCAATTAACAATAGTAATTTCCATTCCTACGTCGGCACGATATATCCTGTGAGCTTGAGATAAAAGATACCACAGAGTCCGACACTTCTCTTCATACTTGGATATTTTACTTGAAAAAGACACTAATGGTAATCTAACAACCAAGCTATATGATAAACGTGATGACTTTAATTTTTCTATCGTCAACTTCCCTTACTTATGCAGCAATATACCTTCATCACCTGCATACGGAGTATATATATCTCAGTTGATTCGATACGCAAGAGCATGCTCTACGTATGAACAATTTCTTAAACGAGGTAAATTATTGACAAGCAAGTTGATGAATCAAGAATATCAACAGTCTCGTTTAAAGTCATCATTTCGTAAATTCTATGGTCGATACAATGACCTTGTCAGCAAATACAATTTATCATTGAATGAAATGCTGACTGACGTTTTTCTTACCAATTTTTAGTCCATTATTTATACACTGAATTGACGACGGATTTTTTCCGTTATTTCCTGTTTATGAGAACGAGCACACGGCGGGTGTGACCGGTCGGCAGGGGATGCTCACTCCTCCATGGCACCTGATCCCACCTCTGATGTTTCGGAGGTCCGTGTTTGCTCTGCTCTTATTTTGTATACTAGTATTGTTTAATGGACGTTGAGATTGAATACTGTTCGTATGAACAATTTCTTAAACGAGGTAAATTATTGACAAGCAAGTTGATGAATCAAGAATATCAACAGTCTCGTTTAAAGTCATCATTTCGTAAATTCTATGGTCGATACAATGACCTTGTCAGCAAATACAATTTATCATTGAATGGAATGCTGACTGACGTTTTTCATACCAATTGTTAGTCCATTATTTATACACTGAATTGACGACGGATTTTTTCCGTTATTTCCTTTTATGAGAACGAGCACACGGCGGGGGGGACCGGTCGGCAGGGGATGCTCACTCCTCCATGGCACCTGATCCCACCTCTGATGTTTCGGAGGTCCGTGTTTGCTCTGCTCTTGTTTTGTATATTGTTTAACGGACGTTGAGATTGAATACTGTTCGTTATTTCCATATCCTTCTTTCATCTCTTTTATACTGCCAATACCTTTTTATTTACTCGTAGATATCTATAAATCTATGTTTCGTTATTTACTTTATGATATGAAGTTACGAAAAGAGATTTTTTCTGTGGCTTTATCAGTTCCAGAAAAAAATCAGCAATTTAGATTACATGAACAATTGGATTATATATCATCGGAGCACATGTGCTTGGGGACAGGACCCTCCCCCTCAGTATGTAATGTTCGTACATGTATATCACAAAAATTCAATTCACGAATTCAGAACCCTCACTTCCAATATGAAAGCCTCTCCATAAAAAAATCAACCAGATTTATAACATAAACAATTTCTTGATAATATCAACCATTTTTTTAATTAAAACAAGGCAGATCTCTGACGCGTTTCACGCCCCTTGACGTTTTCTTTGGAAAGGGGGTTAAATTTAACTGGTATATTCTCACGATTAGGTTCACACTTTATTATTTATTTATCATGTAT